AAACCCTAAACCCTAAACCCTAAACCCTAAACCCTAAACCCTGAACCCTGAACCCTGAACCCTGAACCCTAAATCCTAAACCCTAACCCTATCCCAAACCTCTTCGCATGCCCAGGTGGATGTTGCTTGACACGGTCGTGGTGGTGACCTCCCTTCTCGAGGTCGGCCTCGACATTGTCGCGTGGCCTGGCAGGAAGCCAGGGGCTGCGCTGTCTGCCAGCGCCCAAGGGGTGAGTTTAGGGTTTAGGCTTTAGGGTTCAGGGTTTGGGTTTAGGGTTAGGGTTTAGGGTTACGGTTTTGCCAAGCCCTCCCTTTCCCCTTCACCACCAGAGCCTTACGAAAGACGGCTGCGAAATCCGGAAGTAAAATTTGTCAAAACCTGGCCGAAACCGGTATCCGCCCAGGTAAACGCCAGCTGGGCACGTCCTGAATCATTAATCCCTTCCTAACCCCTTGTGTCCCCAAAAATCCTTAAACCACTAAACCCTGAACCCTAAAGCCAAACCCCAGATGGAAGACTTCGCTGAAACCCAACCGCCTAAGCGGCGGATGAACAAACTTACTGTTGGTTCGTAGGGAATGGGGGGAATGAGGTACCATATATAATCCTTTAAAGGATATTGCAGGGCCCTAGTTCCCTCATTCCCTGCTCACCAACAGTAAGCAAAGGTACGTGATCCTGAAGGATGGCACGAGCGACAGCGCTGCGCTCGCGGGAATCACTGGCTTCAAAGCGCACCTCAGCCTAAATTGGATCAGGGCCCCTGAATCCCATAAGCACGTTTAGTGCTTAGGGCTTAGGGAATAGGGCTTCCGGTTGAGGTCGTGGGAAAGCAGCAGGGCTTGCTGTTTTGGGGGGGCGGGGGGCAAGTCCATACGGCTTGGAGAAGCGAAGCTCGAGAGTTTAGGGTTCCCTGGCTTCAAGGCTCTTGTTCCAAGGCTTTAGGGTTTAGGGTTTAGGGGTGTAGGGTTTAGGCTTTAGACTTTAGGGTTCAGGGTTTAGGGGTGTAGGGTTTAGGCTTTAGGGTTCAGGGTTCAGGGTGTAATTAGGGTTTAGGGCTTTGGGTTTAGGGTGTGCTCGGCCAAGGGCTGGGGCGCCTCCAGCCCCCCAAAGACCTGCGCCCGGCAGGTTCGGGGCCTCCCAAACCCAGGTCAGCCCCAGGCGCGTCCTGGGTGCATCAGCAACTGCCCAGACACCACACGCAGAGTCCATGTCCTGCGCTCTCTCTCTCTCTCTCTCTCTCTCTTTCACCGGGACCGGGTCCAGTTCGAGGATGTCAATGGGGCATGGATAGTGGTCGAGAATTGTTGATCCAGGGTCGTGGTTTTGCCCCGGTTCCCTGTTCAAACCCGGCTCCGTTTTCGTTCATGGTCGCATGCTTGGAGCCTACAAGTAGGGCTATAGTAAAGTATGGTAACTATGGCTATCACCTTATTGAGGGTACTTCTAACTACCCATGAACCCCCAAATAGTGGTCGAGAGTTTTGACCTAGCGTCGTGGTTTCGCCTCGTTTCCATGCCCTCAAACCCGCCTCTCTTTTCCTTCATGGTCGCATACTCTCGTTCTGAGCAAGAGTGCGCGCGTGATGTGCCCTAACCCCTAAACCCTAAGCCCTGAACCCTGTCCCCAAGGTTCCGAATCATCCGCATCACGCGCATTGTGAAGACGGTGCGCCACTAGGCATCCAAGACCAGCTCCTAAAGGCTTAGGGTTTAGGGTTTCCTGGGCCACATGCGGAATTTCTGCGGAATTTCCTCGAGCGTTTCGGTGCCTGTGACAGTCCTTCTTGTGGGCGTGGTTGCTTTCCAGGGCGCAAGGCTTTGGGTATTGTGTTTCGTAGATGTACGGAACAGCTCAGCTGCCGTTGAGCTGATAAACGTGATCCGATCCACTCAGGAATTCTTCGTGTTTTCCGGTTCGTCATGGCATTCAGAAACTCGGCCGCAAGTGGGTCGCTTAGCCCTCGGGCGATGTTTGCGTTTTGGGGCTTGAACTTGATGAGTTCGACCCAGGGGCCCAGCGTCATGTGAGACCCTTATTGAGCAGAGTTTTGGCGAGCAGAGAACTCAGCCTCCTTCCTCAACAATCGATGACTTGAGCACTAGCAGGCACAAGGAGGTCTGAGCCCAAAGAAACCACCTTGTTGAGGGGATCGACAAGGAAGTCATAACAAGGAACCCCAAAAATAGGTTTTCTGGGCTACAGGTAGGCTAGAGTGTACAGCGACACATCTTCAAGAATATCCTCCGGCTTCTCAGATTTCCTTGATAGAGCTAGGGCCACCCCTGTGAGGTTGACCCTGAACCCGAAACTCTATACCGTACTGCCTAAACCCCATTGCTGCAGGTCAAATTCCCGACACTGAGGAATGATGGATGAAACCCCCCTAATGCTCTCGACGTAAGCCCTGTTGCTTTCCCTATGCACGCTTCCATTCAATATGTTATGGTTTTTTTGAGCAGGCTGTTTCAATTTCTAAGCTGCTTTTGAGCAGTCTATCCAACCTACGCACGCTGGACACGGCTACTACTTTGCCCCACACCCAGCGCTGACTCTTGGCCGAAGGAACCCTGATCACTTCGATTTTCCACACGCTTCAGTCCCTGTGTTGGGCGCTTCTGCTGCTGGTGATCATCATGTGCGCTGGGGTCGGGTCTGGGGCGTTTTGCTCTTCTGGGGTTTGGGGTTTAGGGTTAGGGTTTAGGGTTTAGGGTTTAGGGTTTAGGGTTTAGGGTTTAGGGTTTAGGGTTTAGGGTTTAGGGTTTAGGGTTACATCTGAGATCGGTTCTGACACCCCAAGGTACAGGCATCGACTCCAAAATTCCTCGAAGCCCTCAGCTGAAGAGTTTAGGGGTGGCTTCACCGAGGTGAGCTGGGGTTGCCTGCTTTAGGGCGTTGAGGGTGTAGGGTTTAGGGTTTAGGGTTGAGGGTTTAGGGTTTAGGGTTTAGGGTTTGGGGATACTGACCTATGTCATGGCAGCCCTAGGCTCGAATGCTCATAGGGCTTGAGGCTCGAGGCGTCCCAGAGGCGTCCGCGTGGCCAGTTTTTTTTTTTTACCGAGTCGAAGCCATGGACGCCGCGCGCGAGAACATGCTTTCCAGCAGCGTGTCCTTCTCACACCATCTTCTGACTGCTGGGGAGGAAGAGGAGCAGCCCGGTAGTTCTTAGTAAGGAATGGGGGAGTTGGTGTTCCCCTAGACCCTAAGCCCTAAACCCCCCATACAGTCCTTCAAAGAAGGGTTATATGGGTGATATTCGGTGAATTGGCCTCCTCAACTCCCCGTGATGAACTGATGATAAATCCCTACTTGGAGGTTCAGGGTACCTAGCTATGACCCACTTCTAAGCCCCGTAAGTACCCTAATAGTTTTATACTTGGGTTGTAAGTACAGTTCTAATGGGTTACTAAGTACCATGATCCTCCACGATAAGCCCTAGCTCCCGCCTACTTGAAGGTTCATGGGTACTTAGAAGTAAGGCTACAAGCACGCTAAGTCGGCTATCAGCCTACTTCTGAGTTCCCATCAACCTCCAAGTAGAAGAACCCTAAACCCTAAACCCTAAACCCTACACCCTACTAAGGAATTCCATTCTGGACCTCTCGCTCGAACCTGGCCCTCGGAACATGGAGTCTCGCATCTCTGCGGTGCAGAACCGTGGCGGCTTCGAAGTCGCGTCGCAAAGCAGGACTTGGGGCATCTTCCAGTGAGGGTTTAGGGTTTAGGGCTTAGGGCTTAGGGTTTAGGGTTTAGGGTTTAGGGCTTAGGGCTTAGGGTTTAGGATTTGGGTTTACGAAAATAAGGGACCCCTAACATAGACCCCCAAAATAGTAGGTTTCCATTTTTGGGGGGGACCCCGAATAAGGTACCCCAAATTTCGGAAACACTTGATTTTATGAGGATAGTCCTGATGAGAGGAACACCCCCCCCTTCCCTCCCTCTGCTGCTCCAGTTACGTGTCTGCTGATCCAGTTGCGCCCACCCCCCCCCCCCCAAACGAAACAAGGGAACTTTCAAGTGATATATCGAGGCCATCGGACCAGCATCTCAGTATGTCCATAATAATGGGGACAATGGCCTGCAGGATCACCGCAATGTTGCAGCTGCTTCTGGAAGACCATGAACGGCTCCACCAGACACTTTCTGGATCCCGCAGCGCCGGCACAAAGTTCCCTTGCCCAGCTTAAGGTTCAGACCTTCGAAAGCATTTTGTTGAGGGTTTATAGGGTTTTTAGGGTTTTTAGGGTTTTTAGGGTTTTTAGGGTTTTTTAGGGTTTAGGGCTCATTAGCGTACAACCTCAAATCATGTTTTTTTTGTGCGGGGGAGGGAGGGTTGGGGTCCAAGGCGTTTGGGGAAGGTGCCGCGTTCGACATCATCTATAGCGTCTCCGCCCCGTCCAGCCGCGTGCTGGCACCGGCAGCTCTGTCAGAAGCACACGAGCCGAAGACGGCAACCGGCTGCTGATGGAGTCTCAGGGGCGCTGTGCTCCCAGGAAACCCGCGAGGCTCATGCAAGTGCTACCAGAGGGAGAGCCGGCAGTTTTTGACCCGGCGTGGCAGCAGCCCAGGAGAAGCCGCCGGATCCAGGTCGGTGAGGCAGGTTGTTGCCGAGCAGGCAGCACAGCAGTCCAGGCTGCGATCAGCGAGCTGTTCCTTGGAGTTTGAGGTCGACCTGCCATTGTTGCTCCAGGGCCCGGAAATCATGTTTTGGCAGCTGTTGCTTCAAGTTCTGGATGCTTGGATGTACTTATGGCAGATGAACATGTGGCAGCAACTTTCATCGTTCGGCTGATGCATGGAGTGTTGTTCCGAAGCTGTCTGTAAACTGCAGTAGTACAGCGTGGTCAATATGTAATGCCCCTAGGTGTTTCAGCAAACTCCTTTGGCATAGCTTACCGTGAACGTGTTACCCGAAACCTCCCAAAAGAAGCCGCAAACCCAAACCCCAAGCGGAAACCTCCCAGGAGGGCTGTGCTAGCAGCTTGCGGCGCAGCCGCAATGTGGGACACTTCCCAAACCGAAGCAGCACGGTGCCTTGGTTTAGGCTTTAGGGTTCAGGGTTTAGGGTTTAGGCGCTTCGGTCCTTGGGGACACTTGTGTCACTTGGGTCGCTTGGAACACCTGGGGCACTTGGCACGCTTGGGCCACTGGGAACACTTCAAGCTCTTGGGATGCAGCTAGCTAAGACTATGAGCCTAAGATTTTGTGTCGCGCACTTGGGACACAAGGGTCCCTTGGGGTCACTGGCCGTGCTGCTCTCTCAACCTGGCAGGGTTTTGAGGCCTCCAAGGGCTCCAAGAAGCCTTTCACAATCCTACCATTGGCTTAAGAACCCTGAAAATAAAAAGTACTAATCCCTATATTACCCTTATAAGGAAAGTTTTTTTTTTTTTTTTTTTTTTGGGGGGGGGGGGGGGGTTCTCAACCATTGTCTCGAATCAGGGCCTTGTCCTCCCAAGCAGCAGTTCTGAGTTTTTGCGGTGGGCGCGGACACAGCTGGACAAAAACTGCGGGTCTGAGCGCTCGACCAGCGCCCGCCTACCCAAAAGACAAGTGAGTGGGTGGGTTTGGGGCTTAGGGGCCAGGGTTTTGGTTTAGGGTTGAGGATTTGAGAGGAAAACGGCGAAACAACAGGCCTCTGCAAGGTTCCCAAATTGTTCAGGATGTAGAATCTTAGACTTGAGCGTCCATTGGGCAGTTAACCCTTAAACCCTCAAACGTTTTTGAGGGGACCGGTTGGAAGTCCCGGAGCCCGTGCCTTCTAAACCTAAATCCTATACCCGTATAAATCTTCCCTAAACCCTAAACCCTAAACCCCGACCGCTGAACCCAGTCCAAGGAGATGCCGGCACTTTCTGCACGTGGCTGTGACCGTCGTCCTGTCCATGCTCGCCGTTTCGGCAGGCTTTGTGGTGTCGGGGTTAAGGGTTTGAAGGGTTCAGGGTGAAGGCAGCAAGGATATCTACAGTATGCTGTGGACATGCCTTTGCAAAACTTTTTGAAGAGTCCTGTTCCAGGCTCCCGGCATTTTTCTTTCCTCACCTTGGCCCTGGCTTGTTTTCCTTGGTAAGGTTGCCGCCGGTCCCTCGGTTGGTCCTTAAGTCCTCTCGTCCCCGTGCCACCGGTTTCTTGATCCCGTCTTGGGGATTGTAACCCTAAACCCTAAACCCTAAACCCTAAACCCTAAACCCTAAACCCTAAACCCTAAACCCTAAACCCTAAACCCTAAACCCTAAACCCTAAACCCCTGCCTGTCGTCTTTCCATACCCATCATGGGGCGGGCTGCCCCCCCTCAGCCCGGCCCCTCCTGGCCAAGCTCTCTTCCGCCATGTTTCGTGGAATGCCGGCTGTCGCTGGACATTCCTTCAAAACCCAAAGTAATCGTTTCCAGGCCCTAAAACGCACTCAACCCTACATGGAAAGCGTGTTTTCAGTCCAAAGGAACGAGAGTTGCTGAGATGGAGAGGGTTAGCATGTAGGAAATCAAGGTGGTGGGCCCAGGGCGATGTATCAGGGTTTAAGGCCTAGGGGCCCCTTAACCTTGCCCAAGAGCTCCTCAAGATCTCGAAGCCCCCCAGAAAGGTCGTGAATCCGTTGCAGGGCTCCTTGAGGGTAAAAGAGACAATAGCAGCGAAAACACACAGGGAGGGAAAAGGCCCTTTCCAAGCCATCACACGAGCAGAGGTGGTTAGATTTGTTGGCCAAGCATGTTCGCAGCAGCGCAAACATAGACTGCAAGAAATGTTGTGATCTACAAAGTTTGGCGTTTGTGATCAGTCACAAGCATTTGTTATGTACAGCGTTTGGATCCGATGTACCTTGGACCTTGTATCTTTATCGTACACTCAGACATGCCGTAGTTGAGAGCGTTTGGAGTTTGTAACTCAAGCAGAAATGCTATAATCCAGCATCTCGATAGAGCATTTAGCATTCCGAGCCCTGGAACACGCAGAAAATGCGATGGTTTTCAGCATGTAGAGCCTGCGAACGGCCAGAAGCGCTGTAGTTTTCAGAGCTTTTACCCCCAGAACAGCCAGGACTGCTGCGTTCAAAGCCAGGAAAGGTAGGCGAACGCCAGCACGGAAAACAAGCGGAGAGGGGAAAAAGCCTCCGCCCCGTTCCAGAATGGTATGCATCTCTGGCTTAGGGGTATGAGTTTAAGGTATATACTTCCAAAACATCTGTATTTTCGAGCTGTTCCAAAGCCTTCACCCCAGATCACAGTTTCCATGAAGCCCGATTGGGAAGCCCTGCAGGACTTCTCCGCTTCATCAGCTTAGTGCCCCAGGAGGCCGAGCCCTGGCGCGATCTCACCACCAGTGCCATCTTCACAACAGACATTGTGCCTTGTCATTCAACCGGAGGTTTCTACAATTGTGGTACTTTTGTTTTTTGTTTCAGGGAGGGTCCCCTTAAGGTTTGGGCCCCAGAGTGACCCCCACCCGGGACGCCGAACGCTGCCCTTTTTCATCCTAGACCCTAATTACCCTAAATACGGCCCTGGAACATGACCCTCAACCCAGAGTCATGAACCCATCCGCGTGTGCGAATCAAAAGCCCTTTAAGCCCCAAAAAGTCCTTGCAACGCAAGGTTGCTGGCCTGGCCACTCCAACGTGCCTGAGCTTCCTGGGAGGCTAAAGCTGTCTTGCCGAAGCTGCTGGGGTTTGGGCATCATTGTTCGGTACACTTGGCATGCTAGACGAACAAATTCCACAATGCATCGTGGCACACTGCGGTCTGGATAGTGGGACTCCATAGAAAAATTCCGTATACTCTGATTGTTCAAGGTTATAAGCATTAGGAGAGGCCGAAGGGGTAGTAGGACTCAAACTTGAACAATCCCCGAACCAAAATCATCCCAATCGGCAAAAGCCATTCACACCCTTTCTGCCGCACACGCTTGCTCCACGATTTGTGGCGTGTCATCCTGTCGTGCGTGGGCCACGCCCAATCGCTTGGCTTGGTACGCTTCTCGATTCGTGCATGTTATTCTAGGCCAGAACAAACTGCAGTGTGCTGTAGTGTTCTTGGCTGATGGGTGTCTGAGTGCTGGTTTGGCAAAGCTCTACTGCCTCCTTTGGGAGGCGTGATGCCTGGCACTTTTGCACGGAGAATGGAGTCTTGTTGCAAGTCAGTGTGCTGCTCGAGAGTCCAAGGTTTCGAGGCTACCGATGGTTCCTGTTGGCGGCTTCACTATTCTCAGGGTCTCTCACCCAAGAGTTACCATAAAGAGAGAGGTTCCAAGCTAGCAGCGATGGTTGATGCGCCGTAGGCCTTCACGGCCTTCCTATTGCCTGATTAAACCCTAATCCGGGTGGTCGCGTGTGATTGCTTCACAGCGCGTGCACACAAAAACCTCCCAGCTTCATCGGGTTGTGTCACAATCCACCCTAACCCCTGAACTCGACCTGGGCTCAGCCTCATCTCACGCTTATACCCCTTGAAAGCCATCAGAGGACTACCTGCGGGATTCCCTCCAATATCTGGGCGTGCTGCTAAAAACCAACAAGCTCATGGACGAGTGGCGAAGCATTGTTGGCAAAGACCTGATGTGGCTCACGGTCGAGTCCTGGCCGGCCTGGGGGTTTACGAGCATAAGGGACCCCCCTGTTTTGACCCCAAATGGTAGGATTCCCTTATAATAGGGACCCCAATCAGGTACCTCTAATTTTGGAGACCCCACATGTTTCGAAGGCGAGGTGGACACCCTGTATAACCCCTCAAACGGCATGTGTAGAGGAAATTTAAGGTACCTTGTTCCCTCCTTCCCTATTAAGAGCCAGGAAGATTCAGCGCTTGTGAGTTTTGCCTTGCCTTTGCTTCAAGGAACTCCCTAAGCCCTATAAACCTTACCCCTATCCTACAAGTACCCATCAAGTTCCTTTGCGCCTGATCATGCCACCCTCTACCCAAACGCGATGCCCGAGGCATGGTTTTCGATCTGTGCGTTGAGGGTTGCATCAACGTTGCTGCTGCACGACCTCACTCCAGTGCCGCAGCTGCAGTTTAGGGTCTATAGGGCTTCCAGGGATTTAATATGGGGTTTGTTGGGTTGAAATAGGGTTCAGATAGGCCCTATATGGGAGTGAGTTTTTTTCCGGGCTTGTAACAGGCGCCTGGGGGGTCCCTCCGCGACAAAGGTTTGTAACAGACGGGCCATGTCCGCGACAACCCCCCCCGCGACAAGGCTACAACCCCCCCCCCCCCCCTTCCGACAAGACAGCAATACCATTGAATTTTCTCATTGCCAATCTCGATGCGACCTTGCAGCAACATTCACTCTCAGTCCGCGACAAGGCCTGCGACAGGGCGCGACATACCCGCGACAACCCGCGCGACTGCTCGAGCCAGCAGGTGCCCATCCGTAGGACAACCTTGAACGAGAAGCCCAGGGTTTATATTTACAGGGTTCAGGTTTAATGGCTCTCCGGTAAAAATCCTGCGGTCCCTAAACCCTTCATCCGAAACCCCAACCCTAAACCTAAGCCCTTTACCCTAAACCCTTACAAAACCCAAATAAGAAAATTGCGTTCAAAGTAGCGGCGCGACAAACGTATGAAACAACCTGCCCGCGACAAGGCTTGTAACAGAGGGGGTGGGGGACCCCCCGCGACAACCCGAATTTTGACCCACTCCCATATAGGGCTCATATAGGGTATAGCGGGGGGTTTATATAGGGCGAAAAAAGGGTTTATATATAGCGCTTATATAGGTTTCTATAGGGTTTCTATAGGGTTTCTATAAGGTTTATGCAGGCTTTTGTTGGCTTTATATGGGGTTGATATAGGGTCTGTAGAGGGTTTATATACCTCGGCTCACCTGTGCTTTTGGGTAAGCGGGCGATGGTCGAGCTCGCCTGGGGATCCTTTCCTTTGGCCTTTGTTTTGGGTGGTGAATCGGAAAACCTGTGAAAACCGCTATTTTCTCCATGCTTTGGCAGGAAAGCCTCTGCGTATGTTGTCTGCATATGTTCCTAGGGAAACGTCTATTTTCTTTTTATTGTCATGGGAACTGAAGGGAACAAGGAAGGGACGGGAAAGAAAGACAGAAGGAAAGAAAGAACTACAAAAAACCAAGAAAAACACACTAAAATTTCCGAGCAAAAAAAAAGAAAGACAGAAAGAAAGAAAAAATGACAGAAAAGACAGACACAAAACAATACAGAAGGAAAGCAATGAACCGAATACCGTGGGCACAAGTGGCCCGGACCACGTGGGCACAAGGGACGGTGATGCCGCCCCACTCCCCAACCCCCCGCTCATGAAAATTGACAGAAAACACACGTTTCTTTATAAACATAGAAAAGTTAAAGGCTTGTTGTCCTACTGAAATACCGAGAAAATAGAGGTCTTCCTCCTCAAATATAGAGACAAAAAAGAGGTTTTCCCATGAACATATAGACACAAAGAGGTTTTCGCATGAAAATAAAGACAAAGAGAGGTTTTCCTATGGAAATACAAAGAACCCCCCGTCCCACCAAGAAAAGAAGAAGACCCAAAAACTCACAATCACCTTAAACTCTAAACCCTAAACCCTGCTCAAAAAAATCTCCACCCAGCTCACCTGGAGGCCTGCGAAGCCCGGGGGGGGGCGGGGGGGGGGGGGGGGGGGGGGGGAAGATGGACACTTAAAGGCTATGCTGCATGTGCGTGCCTTGTAAACAAATACTAAACAAAGGAAACACCCGCAGAATAGACGCAACGCACCCGCATAATAATTGCGCGGAGGCGCAGGTGCCGCGGGGCGCGGAGGGCGCGGAGGGCGCGGAGGGCGCGGAGGGCGCGGAGGGCGCGGAGGGCGCGGAGGGCGCGGAGGGCGCGGAGGGCGCGGAGGGCGGAGGCGCGGAGGGGCGCGGAGGGCGCGAGGTGCGGAGCGCGCGGAGGCGCGGCGGGCGGAAGGCCGCGGAGGGCGCGAGGGCCGCGGAGGGCGCGGGGCGCGGAGGGCGCTGAGGCGCCGAGGGCGGAGCGCGCGGAGGGCGCAGAGGGCGTGGAGCGCGCGGAGGGCGCGGAGGGCGCGGAGCGTGCGGAGGGCGCGGAGCGCGCGAAGCGCGCGGAGGGCGCGGAGTGCGCGGAGGGCACGGAGTGCGCGGAGGGCCCGGAGGGTGCGGTGGGCGCGAAGAGCGCGGAGGGCGCGGAGCGCGCGGAGCGCGCGGATCTCAAGGGTGCGGAGGGCGCGGAGGGCTTGCAAACGTGGAGGGCGCAGAGGGGCATCACGTGTCCCCATGCACTCCCCTGCCCATCAACCGAATGTCACGCTCTCCATCCGCGCTCCCCCCCGAACCCGTCCGTCAACATGCATGGTCCACTCCTCCTCACACCACGCCCCTCTCCAGCAAAATATTCCGAAACCCCCTCCCTTGACCGTGTCGTCTCTGCAGCCTCCCGTCAAACTTCATTCCGTCCGACCCTTCTCCAAGAAGCGATCCGATAGAACGCCTTCCGCATTGAAGCGCCAAACGAGAACCCGGTTTTCGGGAAGAATCAAGAAAACAAAGAGCACCCGCAGAATAGACGTTAAGTGCCCAAGGCAGGGGGGCGGGGAGGGGGGGGGCGGGCGGGGGGGGGGGCGGGGGGGGGGGCGGGGGGGGGGTGGGGGGGGGGGCGGGGGCGGGGGGGCGGGGGGGGGGCGGGGGGGGGGGGGGGGAGGGGGGGGGGGGGGGGGGGGGGGGGGGGTGGGGGGGGCGAAGGGGGGGGTGGGGGGCGGGGGGGCGGGCGGGGGGGGGTGTGGGGGGGGGGGGCGGGGGTGAGGGGGGGGGCGGGGGGGGCCGAGTCAGACGCAGAAGCAGCGGAACCCAAACCCTGCAGTTTTTTTCCGAATAGTTGCGACTGCCAGGCCCCTGTACGGGGGCTCATGCGGCCAAAAGCCTGCTTTCAGACCAACCCTAAACCCCACACTCCACACCGGTTGTTTCAGGATTCGTAGGGCCTGGGAAGCTTTGGGGTTTAGGGTTTAGGGTTCAGGGTTCTTAGAAACACAGCCTATATACCCTAAAACCTATTCCCTAAACCCCTGAGAGTTTCAAGTGGGGGTTGCCCTGAGTTGAATCGAGCTGCGGGCTCACATGCCCTTCCACCGCACGCTTCCGCTTGAAGCCTCAAGATCTAAGCCGTGAGGACCAGGCCCTCAGCCCCGCAAACCCGAAGCCCTATGCATGCAGTCCCAGCAGCCCTAAGGTCCCGAAGCCCTGCATTCCGAACCCCTCAACCCTGAACCCTAAACGCTAAACCCTAGACCCTGAACCCTGAACCCTGAACCCTAAACCCTGAACCCTAAACCCTAAACCCTAAACCCTAAACCTTAAACCCTAAACCCTAAGCAAGGCGTCAGTGGCTTGCATGCTCGGCTTCGTGGTCTTCGCGTCCGTACTCACGGCTGTAGGCGCTGTTGACATGTCAATAAACTCTGTAAACCCGAACCCGGGTAGGGCTTTAGTGTTTAGGGTTTAGGGTTTAGGGTTTCGGGTTTCGGGTTTCGGGTTTGCCCAAGACCCCTTTGTTTAAGGCCTCGTGATTTATTTGGGGGGCCCAAAGACCTTCTTACTTGGGGGTTTGCAGGGCATAGGGTTGAGGGAACCCTAAACCCTACACCCTAAAACCCGAGAACCTTGAAGCCCTAAACCCTAAACCCACGCCCCACCCTGGAGAGGCTTCGTGCTCATAGCCGCCTGGCGCGGGTTGGGCCTGCGAGTCCAGCGGTTCCTGGCGAGCAATTTTCTCAACCCTTGTACCCCGCATGGGCTTTTTGTTTCCTATAAGCCCTGCACAAGGCCCTTTACAGGGTTGGTTAGGGGGATTAATAAGGCCTAATGGCACATGGTAGGCCTTTGAGAGGGCAGAAGTTCACGGGGCTCCAAGCCGAGGTTCACCGACCCTTTCAGAGAACAGGACGTGAACCTTGCAGCCGTGCAAGGCGAGTGGAGAGAGCTGGGCGCCTGCATGCGCTCAATGTCGCACGCTTTGCAAGCATGCATCGTGGTGCTGGCACTGACGGTGGGCACAGGAATGATCTCAGTGGCGTTTGATGTGCTTAGAGAGGGCTTCGCCTTGACAATGCTCCCGGCGGTGCTCCTGTTTGCTTTGATGACCGCAACTTTGCTCCCCGCAGCACTCGCCAGCTCGGCGTGTGCTCGCTTTCCTTCCTTCGTGGCGATCTACGACCCTGGCCCGGAGATGGCAGAGAACTTCATCCGCTTCGCAGACTTTATCGCCATGACCGATTGCGGGTGCTTCCTTTGGGAGACAAAGCTCACAGCAGGGCTTCTCCAACGCGCGATGTCCATCACCATAGCTCTGGCTGCGGCCATCTACCGCAGCGGGATCCTGGTAAACTAGTGTAAAAACTGGCTTCGGCTCGCCATGGAGAACTCACTGGCTCAAGAGCCGAAAGAGCCTAAGAGTTGGCTTCAGGCGATCGATACACTTTTTCGGCAGCGAGAAACGCCCTGCGCCACAATTTGTACCTAATTTAATACGGGGACTGAGGCCCCAAAATTCTTCCGAAACAGGGCTATCAGCCTGTTGTCAGGGCACAACGAAGACATGCAGCCTGGCAGCTACATCTTTCTGCAGTTTCAACTAGTGGGTAAACTAGCTTCTTGCCCGCAATGGAACTGACTCAAGAGCTTTGTTGGCTCTTCAGGCCGCAGTTTCACCCGTCGACTAAGGCTTGCAAAGCCTACAATTCCACTAGCCGGCGCAAGTATTTAAATAAGGCCACGGTTCGTTCGTGAGAAGGCCATGCGTAACACCCTCGCAACGACTGACGGACCGACTCCACCTTTAGTTTCTTGGAGGTTCAGGGTGCTTATAACCCAATTATAATAAGTGTAGTTTTGAAAAAACCCACTTATAAGCCCCTGTTAAGTACCCAGAACTAGGGTTATCATTGGGTTCTACGTGCCGTTATAGTTGGGTTACGACGTACCATGAGGCAAGCCAAGCTCGCCCAGTGTCTGTTGGTAGCGCAGTGGTACCCTAAACCCTGAGCCCTAAACCCTGAACCATTTGCTTTTTTGGCTCTGGGCTCTCTTATAAAGTAGCCAAACAAAAAAGGTTACCCTTATTGTAAGATGGCTACTGGGCTGCCAAGGTGATTAAGGTAGCAAAGAAGCATTAGCTAAGACCACTGCTGCGGAAATCAAGCGGAGATTACTTCGTGGTAGGGAGCCGTGGAAGTTGCTGTCCTCATCAATCATCAAACAGGTATTGTAGAGACATGTCATCTCGAGCCGGAGAGGTCAGAAGCGTGGTGGGGTGCGCAAGTCGCGAAAGTCCTAGCGGACGAACTTTTCTTGGTAGCCTTGACAAGAAGAAACTCAGGGGTGAACACAAACAGGTATACTATCGTCATAGCAGTATGTTGTAGCCGATTGTGGCCATGAGCACTGTCACTACAGGCGGCAAAACCTGGAAGTTAGAGACCGACGGTTTCAAACCTTCCGAATTTAGCATGTTCTCCAGCGATGAAATCAGTGATCCAGTCTTCACGTGGCCAATTTGCCTGCTGAAGTTTTTGGATGCCCTACGTGGAGGTTCTGGGTACTTATAAGTAGGGCTGTGAGTAGGGTAACTCTGGTTATAGCCGTGTTTGGGGTCCTGTTGAAACCTTCAAGTAGAAGCGCTGCTGAAATCCTACGAATGACCTGCAAAGCGAGAACTCGTCACGTTTGCCATTTTACATCCGATGGCCTACATTACGTCCGGTGGCCGATATGATGTTTTGCGTCTCACGGTGCAGGCATCCCTGCCCACAGCGATTCGATTCTGAAGCAAGATGCCCCCAGATTTGTGCTCAACTTGGCGAGTGCAAAAAGCGTGAGGCGTTCGGAAGGGAAACCGAAAACCCCGAGAACCTCAATTGTCTTTCGAGTTTCCCTAAACCCTAAACCTACATCCTTTTCATACCGATGCAGCTTTGAGAATGTTGGTTTGGAAATGGTCAGGTGCTTTGAGATGGGGCTTGGGAGACGGCGCGCCACGGAAAACTGCAGCACGATCAGGTCCACCACAGGAGGTGTATACATATACATATACATATACATATACATATACATATACATATACATATACATATACATATACATATACATATACTAGCCCAATAACCATTTTACAATCAGGGTACACTTTTTGGGGTTGGTTCCTGTAGACGGGAACCTTAAACCAAAAAAGGGAAAAGGGTAGCAGGGCTAACAAGAATATACGGGGTAGCTCTTTCCCTCATTCCCTACTCAAAGCCGGAAAGTGGTTGGCGTGTCGGGTTCGATGCTTGCGCTTCTTGACATTCCAGGCCTCACGGTTGGTTGAGGGTAGGGTTTAGGGTTCAGGGTTCAGGGTTCAGGGTTTAGGGTTTAGGGTTTAGGGCTTAGGGCTTAGGGTTGACGATTGGCTCGAGCCGGCGATTCGCTAGGCTAATTTACATCACTGCGTCTTTGGCATCACCCCACCCTCCCAGAATCCCTTTTCATCTGAATTACACATCTTTTTCTTACTTAGTCCATTTGTAACCAGCCATTTTTTTATTCAGCGCGCAACGCAGTCATCTACCACCAACCTTTTTTGTCTTCGACTCGTTCAGCCCTGAAGGCCCGAAATCCCCATACCAAATGCCAACAATCGGGGGGGGGGGGGGGGGTTAGGGTTTAGGGTTTAGGGTTTAGGGTTTAGGGTTTAGGGTTTAGGGTTTAGGGTTTAGGGTTTAGGGAGTTGGACCCACAATGAAAATTCGAATTTTTGAGTACAGAAACACATGGTTCTGGAGATCCTCCCGTTTTTGGATCCAGGCGCCGGGAATCCTAAGTCCGAAGTCCTAAAGGCCCCGAGAAGCCCCTGAACCTCCGAAAGGCTCCAAATCCTAAATCCTAATGATGAATGCCAACAATCGGGGGGGAACCCAGGATTTGGTTGGACCCACCATGAAAATGCGATTTTTTACTACAGAAACACATGGTTTCGGCTTCCGTTTTGGGATCCAGGCACCTGGAAAAATCCTAAAGCGCCACAGAGAGGCCCCTGAACCCTAACCCTAAATCCTAACTCCTAAATCCTAAATCCTAAGGCGCCACAGAGAGGCCCCTGACCCTAAAAAATAAAGCCTATATCCGAAATCCTAAGGCCCCAGAGAGGCCCCTGAACCCTAAACCCTAAATCCTAAATCCTATATCCTAAATCCTAAACGAATCCTAAATCCTAAACCCTAAATCCTAAATACTAAAACCCACGAGAGGCCCCTGAACCCTAAACCCTCAAAACCTAACCCTAAATCCTTAATCCCAAAAACCCCAGAGAGGCCCCTAAACCCTAAATCCTTAATCCTAAACCCTACATCCTAAATCCTAAAGGGTTCAGAGATGCCCCTGAACCCAAAGCCTAAATCCTAAACCCTGAATCCTAAACCTTATAAATCCTAAACCCTAAATCCTAAACCCTAAATCCTAAAGCCTAAGGCCAAAATCCGAAAGGAGAGGCTCGGGCCCCAGAGAGGCCCGTGAACCCTAAATCCTAAATCCTAAACCTTAAGCGATCGAAAGCGGAGAACGGGCCCATTTAGGGTTTAGGGTTTAGGGTTTAGGGTTTAGGGTTTAGGGTTTAGGGTTTAGGGTTTAGGGTTTAGGGTTTAGGGTTTAGGGCGACTTTGCAGAATGCATCGTACTGGGGACTTCGAGACTCGTGCAGAACAAGCCTTCGAGCAGCTATTCTGACAAGCAAGAAACCCTCAACCGAACCCTAAACCCTTGGGCGGCTACTTGCCGCCCGCCTGTTGGTTGGCCCCGTTCCTCCTCTACGGGTTCGTCGTCTTCCATGTTCGACAAACTCTCTACAAATTGCGCAGGTACGTGTTCGCCGTACTTTTCACGCAGGCAGGGTCGAGTTCGACTCTGTGCAGAGGCTTCTTTGCATCCTGTGCTAGGCAACGGCAACGTCACAGAATGCGCGGCCCGGAGACTCCCATATCCCTTATGGAATACTCCTTTAATTATGTAATCCTCCCATATCCCTTAATTATGGAATACTCCTTTAAGCCTTAAACCATATCAGGAACCCTCGTATACTTTAAGGAATATTCCTTGATTAAAGGGTATTGGAGACACTGGGGAGCTGAAACACCATAAAGCACAAAGACACGGGGGTCATGAACAGCTCAGGGCCACTCTTCATGATCCAAACCACACGACTTCCAACAGCAATGGCCTTTAGGGTTTAGGGCTTAGGGTTTAGGGCTTGGGGTTTAGGGTTTATATATCGACACACCTTATCCCAGAGGTCCTATTCTGGAAAGCAGGTATCCAACAACTTGTCACGACTCCACAAAAAGTTCTTTCATTCACCACGCAATGTGGCCAAGAACAACAGGTGGATTTAAGCTACGGTCCCAAATTGTTAGATCACCCCCCCCCCCCCCCCCCCCCCCCCCCCCCCCCCCCCCCCCCCCCCCCCCCGGCCAGGTGTTGGCGTTCTTGCATTTTTTGAAATGCTACAGTTGTCAGGCCAAGTGTCGAGAATCATTGCCCATAGTCTTCCCGGGACGTGTGCGATGTCGCAATACACGTGCAAAGTAGGTGCTTTCTTGCAAAGGAGGAGCATGTTTAGGAGTTTGGGGCCCAAACCTAGGCCCGAAACCGGCAACAAAAAGGTTGCACTGGGTGGTTGAGGAAATGCCCTTGGCATGTAAGGGTGCCTCCGAAGGGGTGGAGCATTCTCAAGCTCCAGGCACATCAAAGCGCGTATCCTACATCAAACCGTTATCTCCATGTCATGTTTTCTGCCGGCATGTGCAGGCTGTGAACAGCTACACGTTGGATCCGCTCAGCCCACCTTTGTCCGCTGAAGCTGCTTGGCAAGGCATTGTTGAGTCGTGGTTACGAACAAAACGCCCAGTAGTGCACAGCCCAAAAAAGCGGGTATCCTTTTTAAGTCTAGGCTCGCAGAAAGGAGTACCCACGGACGTGAAGGGGCGGTCTTATCCGGAGCACCTCGGATCATTCAAGGCCCTGAAGCCCATGAGGTCAAATGCCCAATTCGCAGCCCTATATCCTAACCAGCCAAAGACACGACGCACTTCTATACATGGTTGCACAAGCGGGCTGGCGACTGCTCCTGCGACATGACCATCAGCCGAAATCCCGACCCCCTGAGCGCAAGGACACACAGGCCAGTGCGCAGTACTTCAGCTGCCCGACAGCAATAGCATGAGAGTGTGGGCGGGGTTTTGGATCACGCTGTGTTCATCGGCAAACCGGCGCAATGTTTCCTGAATGGGTATTCTTGAGCCTCATGATGCCACACTTTGGTCGCGTATACCAAGGCGTGTGTGTTCACAGGTTACCCTTTTCGACCACCCAGTCATCCCTCCTCCCTTGTATACACCCCCCGGAAAGGAAGCAATGGGGCCCGAATTGTAGGACAAGTCTGTGTACGTTTTGCCCGGAACCCTTGTCGGGATTGGTGGATTCGGCTAAAGGAGTGTTTTAGTTCGGGGGCAGGGCTTTCGTATTTAAAGGAGCCCAGATCCAATTTAGCCCAAGCTCAAGGAAAGTGGGGCAGACTGTAGGGTCTAGGGTTTGGGGTTTGGGGTTCATGTACGGCAGCCCCAGCGTAGCACCCCTTCTTTTCAGTGCTTCGCGACCCGTCCCGGCTGGGTCGGGAGTAATGAAGCGCCTATGTTGCTGTGGACCGCTTTTGGACCTTCACTGATCTGCTAGGGAGGGACCTAGCCATGAACCCCCTATGACCCTCAAGAAACCTTCACCTGGAGTCACTTGTGAACCGCAAATGGTCCTCACTTGTGCTGGGAAAGACTCTCGTTGCGTGTGTAGCTCCCGGCCCAGCCTTCCTGGGATGTGCTGAGTTTTTCCCTCACCCCCTTGAAGACCCCGGGACTGCCCCCTAAACCATAAACCCTAAACCCTCAACCCTAAGCCCTAAACCCTAAACCCTATGATAAGGCTCCATACGGACCCCTGTATGGAGTTTCGATCCAGGACCCCTCTGTGAAACTCTTATGGGCCTCCCCAGATTCCTGGGAGGATCCAAACAGTAGAACCCCCAAACAGTACCCTATGGGTTTAGGGTTTAGGGTTCAGGGTTTAGGGATACTATTGGGTCATTTTTTTTAGGCACCCCTAAGAAGATCTACTTTTTGGATCCTCCCAGGGGTCTGGGTATGGACCTGCTATAGTACGACAAGCTCGTCGAGATTTCGGCACATCGCTCCGGAGGGTTCTTTTAGGGCTCCCCTTTGGGATCCCTGAGAACCCCAAACCCTAAACCCTGAGCCCTAAACCCTGAACCCTGCTTTGAAGTACCCACAAGAACGCAAGGTTCGGTCGGCTACACCATGCTCAGCCTCTTCATGTCGGTCGCGGGCGGAGTGAGTTGGGCGGAGGCTGGGGGCTCCCAATGGATTAGGGTTTAGGGTTTGGGGTTTGGGGTTTAGAGAGGGTTTATAGAATTTTGTAGGGCTTATAATGTTTCATAGGGTTTATTACATGGGGTTCTGGCCTGCCGCTGGCTAGACTTGAGCAATGCCGGATTCGGGTTGAGCAGAGGTTAGGGTTTAGGGTGTACTGTTTATAGGGTTTATAGGGTTTAGGGTTTATAGGGTTTAGGTGCTGCAACGCACACAGGTCTTCAGATCTGGGTGTTGTGTGCTGCGTTCTTGTTGCTCTTCTTGGATGGCTGCAGACCATAAGAGGCCACTTGAGACGAAGTGAGACAAAGACTTGCTGTGGTTGGATTTGGGATTCCGTGTGTGTTGTGATATTTCCCATCTTGACACATGCAACTACTCAACTCCCCAGTCAAAAGTGAGCAAGGCCCAATATCCGGGTTTAGGGTGTGAGGTTTAGGGCCTATAGGGTTTAGGGCATAGGGGATTGTATAAGTTGCATTGCAGACACGACAGCGAGCCCACGTGGCTCAACGAAGGCAGCACTCTTCCGGAAACTCGGAGAGTCCACTGCATAGCTGTAGGAATGGACTCCGGCATCATTTCCTCGGATGCCCGGCTGGATGCCACAGTTGCTGTGGTAACGGCCGTCTTTCAAGTTCTTTTCCTCTGCAGAACGGCATATGGCGCCGTCAGCCACCGAAGCCACATACGGAATTTGGCTGAGAGATGCATGAAGGCAGCTACGCGGGCATTTGCACAAACTCCACATTCCGATGGTGAGAGGCTTGTTCTTGAAAAAGTGAGCGAGCTTCGGTTGCAAATTGCACGTCTTTTCATCAAGTATATATGTGCACTGCTTTGCATGACTCTGCTGATTGTACTCTGGCGCGCAATGCGGAAAGCCCCTCTTTTCGTGTCACCTGCTACAACCTTAGCTGCTGCTGTGGCATTTTGGATCTTCGCGCTGTTGGATGCATTCCCGGCAATTCTCACAGCTCGGCGTTTAAACGCCATGTATATCATCATGACAGGTTACTGGGCAGCAACACTGTCACCGTGGCACGTGCAGCCCACGAATGCTAGCCAGCTGTCCCTTTTGTATCTGGCCTTTGCCCGCATGCCCGCAGTGGGTATTGCCACCACACCTGCACTGGTTGCAGTATGCAGCTTGTTCCCACTACTTGTGCTTGGGCTACGCGTTGGAACTGGAGAAATGCCAGAGGTACGACCCTTTGCAATCGAGTTCTGTGCATTTATCGGTACAGTGGTTGCATCCACATCAGTTCAGCAAGTCCTGACATACCGCATTGAGCGAAGTCTGCAGTACAAGAAGATGGCAACTGACTTCAATGCCACGTCGTCCCTGCTGCACTTGATGTGTGACTCCGTGATCGAGCTGGACGCCGATCTCCGGATGGTGGAGCACTCGCCATCACTTGCCGCTTTGCTGTTGCGGGGCAGACCGGGCGCGACTTTGGCCGGCACGGACTTCACAGACCTCTTAGCCAATGCAGCAGAGGCGGGCCGTGCTGTGGAGCTCTTGCGGGGGTTGGAGGACTGCCCGCGTGACGGTGTGAATGCTCAGGCTTTTCAAACGCATCTGATGGACAGCGACACCAACAAGTTCCGGACGGAAGTTTTCCAAGTGATGTACCACACGCCAGAGGGACATGCCCGACACCTCATCGGCCTCCGTGACGTGACGGACCAAGGTTCGCTCTCAGGCAGCAGAGCCGTCGAGAGTTTTTCCATCCTCCCGCGTTCGTCTACACCGATGTCCTTGGCCTGCAGCTCCATCGGCTCTAAGGCAAGCGGGCCTAGCGGGCCTAACGTGAACGCACAGGAGAACGCCAACGCTGGCAAGTTTCTGTCACTTCTCGTCGACGTGGACCTTCAAGTCGTCCATACCTCATCGTCATTTGCCTACCTCGGGAGGCATCCAGCTGAGCTGTTCTCCACCACAGGGATGCAACTCTTGGACCGAGCACTGGCTGAAGTCAGCTTTGAAACTCCCATATCCCTCTCGGCCCTGGAGTTTCGACTCGGGAGCCACTATGAGGTTGTGAGTGCCACCGTCCAGCTGGTTCAAAACCCGGCTGTCAGATCGTATCTGATCTTAGTCTGTGCACCTTCGGGCCTGATGCCTCCTAAAGGGAGCTCAGAGTTCAGCTCAGTCGCAGATCTGGAGACGGGCAAACACCGTGAACTCCTGGTCGGCGCTGAGTACCAGTTTGGCGACTACGTCTGCGTTCGTCTTTGAATTCCTGAGGGTCCATGTGCCTATACAGGATATGCTTGACCCCCTGAAGCCACTAATTATACAAGAACCCCTTTACGGCCCAAGTACATACTAGACACGCACATGGATCCCTAGGGACTGCCGGCAGCTTCACAAAACAAGGGTATGCCTGTGGGGGGAGGCGAGGGTGGGGGGTGGGGGGGAGCTTGGGGTTGTTTGGGGCAGCTTGGGGATAAAGGAAACCATGCGAAGCATGGTTTTAGGGTTCCGAGTTTAGGGTTTAGGGTTTAAGGGTCCTACACATCCTACACTCATAGAACGCCATTGTGGTACTACAAGTGGACCCTTTGGGTCAGGGGTTAGACCTTGGTTGGGAGAACTCAAGGCTGAACGTACGTTGGGCCGAAGAGGATCCCATTCAGCAAGCTTGCTTCAGAGGGCTTCATCTTCTCTCTAAACCCCTTGATCCTAAACCCTAAACCCCTAAGCCCTAAACATCCCGTGACCAAGAGCTCAGGAAGCATATCAAAGTCAGACAACTGCCGCCCTGAACCCTTAACCGACTAAGCCCCCCCGCATAAACCCCGTAAACTCCCTAAACCCCTTAAACCCTAAACCTCATAACTTAAGGATGTGCTTCAAACAAGCTGCGTTGGAGCGCTTTGGACTGTTTTGTTAGGGTTTCGGTTTAGGGTTGAGGGACCGTACACCCCAAAACCCTAACTTCATTCTCATCGTAACTAGAGGGGCGTTGAAGGACTGGGACTTCCTTCTCGGTTGTGTGGCAGCTTCCCTTTGAGGGCTTTCAGGTGGAGAGTTCCGAGGCAGGGCGGCTGGGGATGCGGGTCTGTGCGCCCAGCAATGGCAATGCTTCGTATCGGTGGCATCACATGGTTGCATGGGTGTCTGCGACTCACATCGCAGACAGCCATGCCCGCGTGCAGCAGAGATTCAGGCGAAGATGGGGGATGTCCATCCCAGATGGCATGCGACGATGAGTTTTGGCTTCGACTTGGCTCAGTTCATCCGGTGTCGCTCGCGCTCTCGTCATGGGCATGGTCATGCCCGGAGGACTCTCGGGCCTCTTGTCACTGGGCGTCGCAGGACCCTATGTTCCTTTTCACCTGTGCCACGCAGCTTCTGTCAGCAGCCGGCCACTCCAGCCAGAGGTCTGCGATGCTGTTGCTGCGCCATGCCGCCAGCCTGGCTGCGGAGGTGACCTGGACCGGGCGACGATCGCATGAAGAGCACCTGCCTTGCTTGAGGCCAGCTTCCCTGACAACAAGGAAAATTGATCCTCGGCAGGCCCATGGGACATTTTATATGTTCCCCTTATTATTGGGTTTAAGAGGGTCATATTTCGGGAACCCTAAACCCTAAACCCTAAACCCTAAACCCTAAACCCTAAACCCTAAACCCTAAACCCTAAACCCTAACCCTAAACCCTAAACCCTAAACCCATGTTTTTTCAGATGGTTTTAAGGGGACCATCGGAGGATCAAGAGCTACTGGACGTGGAGCTGCAAGGCGGTCGGCAGTGCAGTGGAGGTGACTGCAGGGAGCAGTGCAGTCTAGTCGTGCTTGAGGACGGTTTCTAGGATGCCCAGTAGCACACGTATTGCCGTTTCCTTGCTTTAATTCTTGTTTTTATTTTTTTTTTTTTTGTGGGGGGGGGGGGGGGGGTTTGGTTGCCTTCTGAACCCCTTGAAGCAAAACCAGGTCACCCTGTTTTTGAGTCCAAGGTTGCTGGACAACCTACCCCCAGAAAAGATAACCCCATTTTCGGAAACCCCCGGTTGCTGGACAACCTAGGTTTACCCTAAACCCTGAACCCTAAACCCTAAACCCCAAACCCTTGCTGGGCAACCTAGGCTTACATGAGTCAGAGCTTCTGGAGCTCGTAAAGCATGCCGAGGCTGTGAAGGAGCTGCATGGCACCCGGGATCCTGACACGAACCTTGGGGAGCAAAATGAACCCAAGCCAGGGTTTGTGATTCATGTTACCTGAATAGGTAGGGTTGAGGGTTTAGGGTTTAGGGTTTGGGGGTGTAGGGTATACTACCCCCAATCTTCGGGTTCATTTGAGATGCGGAAAATTTTCCGTTTGCTTATTCTTCGTAGAGGGGGTAGTTGTTGCAGCAAAACGCCGAAGATCGATAGGGGACGTGCTAAAATGACAGGTTTATTTGATACGATAGGATAGAAGTTCGACAGGTGAAAAGCATGGAAAACGATGGGGGCGGGCGAATTCAACAAACACGCACGGCTTAAGCAAATAATGTTGATGCCGACTCATTTGGTCCCACAGGAACAAGCTGGATATCGACCTCCACCTCTCGGCACGACATCGGCAAGGTGATGGGCACTTACTTTTTCTGTACGTCTTGGAGAAGATTCGGAGGTTGATTGCTAGGGCTGCCGACGTGCCACCGTCCTGGGTCTATTTTGCTTCGCACTTCCTTAGCCACCTAGCTTCGGATGGAAGCAGCTCCTCAAAGGGAACGATCCACTGCGACGAAAGCAGTTTCGATCGATTTCACTACTCTGCCGTGCTGTGGCTAACAGCGCACAACTCAACCACAGGTGGAGAAGTCCAGTTCTTCGATGCGCAACGGGGAGACTGGCGCATGACTGTTAAACCAAGACCTGGACGACTGGCCATCTTCACTTCGGGCTGGGAAAGCATCCACCGAGTTACCCCGCTTCTTATCGGCGAGCGCTGGTCGCTGCCTCTGTTCGCATCCGTGAAGGCACCTGTGAACACCACCCGCCTCTCGAAAGCTTGCCTGCGGCCCTCAAGCACGAAGCAGTGGGAGTACTGTCAAGATCGCCTGCACCAGTGGCTGAACGCCGCCGAGGAGGATTTCAGCTGACTCCAGCCCCAAAAAGAGTGCATGCAGCAGCACTCCTTATACTTCCAGGGACCTCATAATTGCGTCCTTCTGGAAGTAGAGGGACTGTTCTTGTTCTTTATGTGTTCCCTGTTTATCCTGCTACGGCCTGATTCGTCAAAGATAGGGTACCCGGGTCTTTGGGAACCTGCGAGTAGGTGGCTTAGGATTTAGGGTTTAGGTGGTTTAGGGTTTAGGGTTAGGGTTTCTGTTCCGGGGTTGGAAATTGCCTCCCCCCTCCCCCCCCCCCCCCCCCCCAAAAGTACCATGATGAAGCCCAATAAAGTCCCACTTACTGTACCACAGGGTTAGGGGCTTGGGTGCTGCAACGTCCGATTGGGGCAGGGGGCCCACCATTTCGCAACACAAGTTAGGTTTCAACTTGTGCTTCCCTTCAAGGACACCCCCTGGCTGCACAGCTCCCCTAAACCCTAAGCCCAAAACCCTCCTTGTCAGGTCCTGTCGCCGCTGAAGGCCATCGGCGTGGCATGGCTGTCTTGATGGCATCAGTATCGGCATCCGAACTCGCTATTTGTGATACTGATACTTGGCATTCTGATGAAGCACTTGTATCAATGGCAATGAAACTGTATTCTGCTAATGACTGCTATCCTCTCCAAACCTTTGCATCTTCCTTAGCACGTTTGCTTCATCATCGTCGTCGCCAACCTCCTCCTCCCCCTCCTCGTCATCATCATCACTACCCCATCACCAACATCTCGGCACCTGAGCGAACGGATGTCAAGCAGCCCGAAAACACCAGGCTTGGTTTTTACCATCCTGCCTCCTTGTTTCATCTACATTGCTGTGGAACCCAGATCCTGGAGGTTCATGGTACTTTCTAACCCAATAATAACTGCACTGCTAACCCAAGAATAACCCTATTTTTGGGCACTTAAGGGGCTTATCGCTACACTGTAGGCTACACTTATAATTGGGTTATAAGTACCCTGCACCTCCAAGTAACTCCCCAACCCAGAGCCCGCAAGGTCATGTGGGTGATGGCCTTCCTTTTCTACATAAGTTTCACGTATTTTGCGGTCTTGCCTCTGGGCAGCACTCGAGGCAGACATGGGTTTTAGGGCTTAACGTTTAGGGTTTAGGAATCCTGAATCCTAAGCCTCAAAGAAGCTTTTCTGAAAGGTTTCAACGTCTAGGTTCCTACCCCGCTTCATGATGAATTGGTATTTTTCTACGAGTCCCCGATGTACTTACCGAAGTGTGTTCTTCTAAGATGCCCAGTAGTACCCTTATCCCCTTTTTGGGGACTTTAGTCTCCCTTGTAAACCCCTTTTTAAGATAAAAAGACAACCTTTTTACTCCTAGGGTACTAGGCAACCTAGTCATACCTCATAACAAGGAGAGGCTGAGCAGTGTCCATCTGGACAGTTCATGGCTTAGGGTCCCGTTTGCGGGGTGCCTTGAAAAGGTGCCAAACCCTAAACTCTAAACCCTAAACCCTAAACCTTAAGCCCTAAACCCTAAACCCGAATTGGGAGGACTGCCCAGATACCGCACAGTCCCCGAACCCCAATCCTCGCATGAAAGGCCCAGGGTTCCGGAAGCTGAGCTTTGGAAATGCAATCTCTCTGCTTTTCCGCATATGAAGGTTATATGGTTTGGTGTTTAGGGCTTAGGGCTTAGGGCTTAGGGTTTAGGGTTTAGGGTTTACATGCACCATCTATTAGCCGCCCACGTTCCTACGATCATCGAAGAATGCCCAAGATCCCACTGCGCGCTTGCTTTCTTCTAGCTCGCCCTAAACCCTAAACCCCAAACCCTAAGGGGTCCATGTACCTCATTATTGTATACTTGGGCCCTAACGCCCCTATCTTCTCCCTTGTGGGTCTAAGAGGATGACATTTAGGAATATTTGGAGAGGGTCTTGAAGGCCATCATAGTATTGTTTTCTAAATTGCTTAAGGACCCCCCCCCCCCCAAACAAGGAAAATAACAACCAATAATTATGGACTGTAAGAATCTTCCTTCTAAGGATAACCTAGGGATTATGGTCTCCTATTTCTTGTGAGGGTTCTTAAGCAAAGAGGTAGCTCCGGATCCCTTGCTGGGTACCCTAAATATTCGGGGCCGCCTTAGCACAAGGACCCCCCAAGAAAGGGTTCCATAGAATGGAGAACTGACCATGTGTCTCAGGATACTTTCATTGGCCCTTGAGATGGTCCCTTACCTCCTTTTTCGGGCTCTCATGTTTGGGCCCTTGATTTGTGTAGGGTGGATGAGGGGTATATAAGGGGTACCCTTTTAAGGGGCAAAACTGAGGGACCATGTATCTGCAATTCGCATGTGTTTCCCCTCCCCTCTCCTCAGGCTTGCGTAGGCCTATGCTCTTCCCTGTGGAACAAGGCTGTCTTCAGGGTTTCGGAACCATAAGCCCTGAACCCTAAACACTGCTGACCTGAGGAATGTCGTGACGGCCGTCTTCTGTCAGACCCTCTGCACAGCTTGGTCTTGTTTTTCTCGGTTGCTTTCAGCCGTGCGCAGATAGTGTGTTACAGAATCTGTGTACATTTTCTACAATTTGCTTAAGAGCCTTCCCCCCAAAATGTATATATATATATATACATGTATACATATATATATATATATATATATATATTTATTTATTTATATTTATATTTATATTTATATTTATATTTATATTTATATTTATATTTATATTTATATTTATATTTATATTTATATACATGTGAAATATGTGTGTATATATATATATATATAGATTCTGCCTTATAAGGGCAATAGAGGGACTATCACATTTTTCTTTTACTTTTTTTTTTTTGGGGGGGGGGGGGGGGGGGGTAGGAGTTGCAAGCAAGCAGGAATCACAGTATCCGGCTTAGATGTAGCGACGATGGAGAGTCACGAGCAATTTGGGGTGAGTTATTCTGTGAATGGTGCAGAATAGGGTTTAGGGTTTAGGGTTTAGGGTTTAGGGTTTAGGGTTTAGGGTTAATAGTAGTTTTGTGCTGGGCGTGCAGAATAGTAGTTCTGTGCTGACTAGCGGTTTCTGGCTGATAACTGATGCACCCCCAAACAGCTTCACGCGGAAGCTCTCGGCCTCGAAAAGCGCGGTAGGGCTCGATTCGCGTAAAAACCCTGTGCCCGAAGTCCTAATCCCGAAATCCAAATACAACCTGAATGATCGGACCTGGGTTCCTCATCCCTAAACCATGTCACGGAGGTTTAGGGTTTAGGGCTTAGGGTTTAGGGTTTAGGGTTTAGGGTTTAGGGTTTAGGGTTTAGGGGGGCTTTAGGTGTGTTAGGGGGTTTAGGGGGTTTAGGGGGTTGGGCGGTTTCGGGGTTTAGGGGACTGGAGTGTTTAATGTTTAGGGTGTTCGGGTTGCCCCTTAACCCCTTAAAGCCTAAACCCCAAACCCTAAAGCCTCTCTCCCAGGAAAGCGATGGACAACGCGCAGAACGACCACGTGGCCGTTGTCCAGTCCATGCTTGCGAATAAGGAGCTTCACTCGATCAGAGGGCTCCAGAAACCTCCAGGGCTTAGGGCTTAGGGTTTAGGGTTTAGGGGTGGCTCCTTGCAACACTGTCATATCCTGCAAGCCCGGAATGCTTTACAATGTGACAACTAGTGAGTTGGGTTTGGGGTTTAGGGTCCAGAGTCTAGAGTTTCCTTGCCCCCCCCCCCCCCCAACCGCTAGATCCCAAACCCTGTGCTAAACCTGTTCCGCTAACCACCTTTCATCGGCCCTGCGCCCTGCAAATCCGAAGCCTCGTACACCGCTATTAGGGTTTCCTACAAGCTTCTACTTCTACACTTTCTCGTTAAGGGATACCTTCTTGCGAGGTTCTAATACAAGAGAAGTATGAGTTTTAGATGCAGTTCTAAACCTTAAGCTCCAGGGTTTAGGGTTTAGGGTTTAAGGCATCAGCCTCTACCTGAAGGCTCCATGGCAGTGGTTTTGGGGTTTGTAATGAGGGACAACAGTGTACTACCTTGAAAGCAGGCGTCCGGCTGTAAACCCTCAACCCTGAGCCCTAAACCTTAAACCCAAGCCCCAACGGTTTCAACGGTCAGGAGGCACACCTGCAGAAGATGAGCGCCTTGTTCAACCAACTGGGAGCTGATGAGGAGAGGGCTTAGGGTTTAGGGTTTAGGGCTTAGGGGAGAATCTTCCCAACCACTGACATTCCGCACAGTGTTGCGCCCCCACAAGCTTAGTGGGTATTTAACGCAGACATATTGAGTAAGGGACACGCGCCGTACCCTAAACCCTAAACCCTAAACCCTAAACCCTAAACCCTTCTGTGATGGCAAGCCCCTGGTGTTGAGAGGTGTTTGGGGCGCCGAGGTGCAAGTGCAACGGAAGCCTGATTTACAACAGCCCTACAATGCCGATTCCTATGGGGTTTTAGTATTTAGGGTTTATGGTTTCGGTTATAGGGTTTCGATTCGTATATGGTTTTCATCGTTGAGTGTTTTTAGGGTTTAGCAACCCAGCACGGCAAGATGGACTGGTCAAGCGGATCGACTCTGCCAGTCCCTCACAGCTCAATGCGTCCCTCACGCAGTCGCTTGAGGGTCACTACTACGGGTATGCGATAGCTCTTGAAGCTAGCGCGGGGTTGGATCTGGAACTTAGGCTCTTGCATGAGATTGTGGACAGTGGACCGGTGTTCAAGGATGTGGCGCTCACGGCACAATGATCCAGAATCACGATTTTAATGTGGCTAAAATAGACCTCCAATAGTAGTATCCCCTGACAATAAAGTGCAAGAAAACGAAGCCCAGCGCATCCTGTACGCATGTCACGGTATCCCAAACCCTAGACCTTAAACCCTGAAAATTCATAGGTGCTGAGAAATAGGGATATAAGTTCAGAAGGACGATGGCATCATCACTTTTGCGATGTTTGAGGAGAAGATCAACTGCCCAGCTGACACCCGGCTTCAGAACCCCTGATCTAGGGTTTGAATCAGGTGAAAGCTGTTTGCGGAGACGACAT